GAGAGTCTTCTTGTGTATTCCCCAAGATGTAATTAACCAGTAGAAATACGTGTTCCTCTGAGAGACTTATGACCCCAGAACAAAAATGTTCTTTTTTTGGTTCTCTGGTTACGGGTGGCTTATATAGAGATTCTACTCGTTGATGTTATTTTTCGGGTATTTGTATTTCGATCTAATTCTGTTTGGATGTATACTCTTGATCAATCACACAAGGATTACCCCTACATAAGTCTTCTGTCTCTTTTCCTTTTGATTTGTTTGTTTGTTGTCGTACGTCATTTTGTTGTTCGATTCCTCTCCTCTTCGCGTTATTCATTTGATTTTGGAGGGAGATTTATTCAAATAGAAAAATAATACGACGATATATAAATAGACAAACTGGCGACTCTGAGATCTAAAAATAATCGAGAAAAACACTGAGATTATAATATTTATTAAATTTTATATAATTTTATTTGTTTACTAAATTAAATAATTTTAAAAAATAATTAAACAAATAATACACCTCCACAAAAAATTATCATGGGCATTGAACCCATGACCTCAAAGTTAAAGTTTACTAAATTAAATAATTTTAAAAAATAATTAAACAATATCATGGGCATTGAACCCATGACCTCAAAGTTAAAAACCTTACACTACCAACTAAGCTAAATGTACTTAGTATTTTTAATTTTATAATATAATAGTAATAACATATAATTTTTCTTAATATATATTTTTTGATAATAAAATCGCCACATCAGCAGGCGATTTTACTTGCTGACGTGGCAAAGGAAAATCGCCACGTCAGTAGGCAATTTTGTCGCTGACGTGACAAAATTTCCAGTTGACATGACAATTTTGTCTATTTAAAATATTTTATTTTTGTAGCATTTAATTAAAATAATAAATTTATTAAAAAAATGATATTTTAAAAATTTTGCTTTTATGAATTTGTATATATGAGGTACTCGATATACAGATGCATAACATATTTTGGCCAAAAAAGCCTTTACAATATCAAAAAGCGATGCGGCTCATATAAAATTTAATGATTATGTTCGGCTATAAATATGTTTGAATCAAACCAATTTGTTAATCATGGCTATGCTCGAGATCAAATCTAATGACTTTAAAGCTCATCTTGGGTCAAAGTCAAATCAACTCAAGATTAGATCATTAATAACCCTAACATTAATGGATAAAGTGATAAGTGCATGGATGAGGTTACACATGTTTTTATCGATGTCAACAGTTGAGAAGATATCAGATATATGGTACACACACCCTAAAGATTAGATACATCAAATTGTACGTTTTTTGGATAAATATCAGGTTTCATTGACTATTTTTCACTTATAATTTCAACAAATAAGGTATGTTATCTGCCATTTAATGATGTAGGGGATGACGCAAACCAAATTGATGTTGCGTCTTAAGCAGTTTTATTAATAGTTTGGCAGTTTAATCACATTAATTAACCTATGGTATGGTGAGAAAACCTGCTAAGCATTAAGCCACAAGGTCCTTACTGATATAGCTAATATAAGATACTCCTTCAGAATAAACCTTTATAGGCTGGTACTCTCTTAAATTTTAAATAAAATGTCAGATTATTTTTGCACGTTTTTGCTAGAGCTCGAATGAGATAAAATTTATGGTTCAAACAATACCATTGGCGTAACATCAGCGAATAAATTTTAGTACTGCATAAATAATGTAACCATGATATAAAAAGAGTTTGTATTAGATGAAGATTTCACCAAACAAATGAACTGAATCATGGATATAATGCAAGAAAGAAAAGAGGAGGCAAATATCTGTTTCACAAGCGAAAACAAAGCAAATAACTATATAGTAATTGGTTCATAGTTGGAAGTCATACCAGGGGCCAACCAGGCTTTTGTAACATTTGAAGGCAATGGTGCAAGCCAAAGTATGTTCCTCAAATTCATGGAATCATCATATATCACGTTGGATCCTGAATCAAAACATGACAGCAAAAATAAAATTGCGTGAAATAGCACATTTTTTTCAGGAATTGAAATATGGAAAAAGGGGAACATTGCTGTGAACCCATGTGACAGACATTTGCAGTCTAGTTTTCATCACAAAATAACCTGTTTGACAAAATCCCAAATTATAAGGGAACCTTTTCTTTTCATATGCTGGATACTCTCTAGCATGGAACCTGGACATAAATAGAAAATATTAATTATACCAATATGCATGAATAAATATTTGTATGTGGAAGCAGAAGTTCCAAGCTTATGTGGAAACAGTGTTCCAAACTTCATTTTAGTATAATAAATAATTGTTGAAGATACTTTTAAATCTTTGATAAATATGAGTTTTAAGAGCAAGAAGATCACAATTTTGCATGCTAGCAAAAAAAAAATTCATAATGTTTACAGAAAATTTTAGAGTCCTCTATGGTCAATGCAAATCATCACTAAGGCTTTGATGGTGATGCTATGCTACAATTGTGATACATTGTCATGTATCAAATAGATCAGCATTACCCTTTCCTGAGATGGGCGAGTTGTTCTAAAAGTAGGTTACCAGTGATTGAAAAGCCATAGAAGTGGTGCACATGTATCATAACACTACTATTACACATTTCCCACGATAATCACGCTCTCGTAATTTATCAGACTGGAAAACACATTACAAAAACAAAGCCTTTATCCCACTAAATAGGTCGGCTACATGAAACTTTTTTGCGCCATCGCGTCCTACTGAGTGTCATATCTTCATTTAATTTCTAATAGATCATGCTCTTGTAATTTATCAGATTGGAAAGCACAATAGGAGGAAAAAAAGGCATTATCAAACACAATGTAAGTGTATGTAAGCAAGTTGATTCGAGCACGGACTTGAGCTTGAACTTCATTAATTAATCAAGAACGAGCTCCAGCTTACTTTTATGAGTTTGAGTCGGCTCACAAGCTAGCCTATTTATTATGAAAGAAAGTAAATAATATTAATTCAAAATAGTGTGAATAAAATCACAAATAGACTAAGTAATTAAGAGAAATAATAAGAAAATATTTGATATAAAATGTAAAATATCTTTATTTTAATATTTTTAATAATTTAAAGATAAAATTTTGAATTTTAATATATTATGAGTATATGAAAAGAACAAAAGAAACTTATTGAGAAATTATTGCTCAATGTTAAGTTACAAAGTCAATCAGCATCAACGGTAAGCAACAATGTAGCCCCTGAACAGTGTTATCCTAGATATTTCTCAGATCATAAGCTTGTAATGATATCATCTAATAAAGTTTACTTCTGTAGATATGTAAAACTAACTATTTGTGAAAGGTTTTTTTTCTCAACTTACAATATACCCAGCCTTCCAGAATCACTGGCAAGGAAAAGATGTCCATGGAACAAGTCATAGCGATTGAGAGACACATTCATACCCACAGAGGGTGCCCGTTCAACAATCAGTTCAAATAAAAATTCGATGTAAGAGTTCAACTCCTGTTTCAATAATTTAATTTTTTATTTAACTATTTCAACTACAGCAAAGATTTATATATAATCTGTTACGCAAACCTTATTTGCAAAACGATATCCAGTTGGCGTCCTTGTGAGTTCACATTTATCCTTCTTCAAACCCTCAACATCTGGAACCTATGAAATAAAATTCTGGAGAATGAGCCTTTCCCATGTTCCAAAAGGCAAGTACAACCTGAAGCTGATCAAAACCAGCAGCCTTATGCAGCTGAGGGTGATTAACGTGTAAAGCAAAGCATGATTAGCAACATAACAACTAATATCCAATCTCACAAGAGGTGCCAGGCCAGCCTTCTGAATAAATCATTTCGCAACCGAGAAACATTTAGGGGTCATTCGGAATCATTTTTGTTTTCTAATTTGAATAAATCATTTCGCAACCGAGAAACACTTAGGGGTCATTCGGAATCATTTTTGTTTTCTAATTTTTATTTTTACCTTGTTTTGTCTATATTTTGATTTGAAACAAAATATGTTTTCTTTGTTTGATTAAGATATCATTTTTTAGTATTTTCAAAAATACATTAATTTGTTTTTAAAAACAAAAATAAAAACATATTAAAAAACACCAAACAAACATGTTTTTAAAAACAAAAACAAGAACAAAAATAAAATTTATCCCAAACATACCCTTAATAAATTTCCTCTGAAACTTAGAGAGCTGGTTGATAAAAGAGTGCATTTCAAGAATTTCAGAAGTAAAGAATTCTATGACCAAATAAATAAAAATAAGAACTTTGTGCCAAAATTTGCTGACAAGCTTTACAGTTAAATTTATTTTTAACAAAAATAATGAAAAATATTCACATTAAGGGGAAAAAAATGTGCCAATTTAAAAATTAAACTTTCCATCACCAAACAATAAAGATAATCAGACACTCAAATTGCCCACAAAAATGAAGTACCATATGTCATGATATAAAAGTCTGTTGAACAAAGTTATTACAAGAACTTTTCGCCCAAAACAAAAGGGGGCAGAACCAACATCTTTTTTTTAGAATGAGCAAATTTATTATATAACTAACTTTATTTAAATAGTACATAATTTAAAACAATGTCAAGTATTTCACTATAAAATGAAAAAAGATACAAACTTTTCAATTCATTTTATATTTTTTGATAATATTATATAACAATTTCAATAGGAATCAAATTAAATACTTCTTTATTAACGTAATGTACAAGATATATATTAAGTCAATCATCACTCATTCGACTATATAATCGATATTAATAACTTTCATTGCATAAATTATTTTTTAACTGTAACAATAATGACTGATAAAGGTAATATCAAGATAATAAGTTTGTAAACTGGGAAGACACGCAATCATTATTCGTCTTAGTTAGTTATTTTGCAAGATCAATAACATCATTGAAATGACAAATCAACGCTATTGTGCATATCAATAATACATGTGGATAGCTTATCCTCAAAAACCATAATCTCAACAATAAAAAAGTCAATAGGATAAAACTCTACAAGACGAATGAATTTTCACTTATCAAAAGCAGATACTAAATCACTTGAGCTTAGAGATGTCACACAAAAAGATAATTCAGCACTTACTTTAGATAAATGATTATTCAGACCTTGAAGTTGCATGTTAATCATAATATAAAACAACTCAACAAGATAATATTATAAATTTATTATTTTTTCATCTATACATCTTGCGATAAGCTTTATAGGTGCATTTCATATGTGAAACATTAATTTCAAAATTATATTAAAAAAAGATAATTTAACTGATAAAGAATCTCATTGTCTGTAATCATCAATTTTCTCTCATAATTTATAATCCTCGCTTAGATACTTAAACCAATTTCATTGTATTCTCAATATTTATATATTTTTTTTTATAAGAATCGTGAAAATTCATTAGTAATTCCCAAAATATCAATCATTAGATGCTTTAAGAAGAACAAATCAAAGGACTTCATTACAAAGATTAAAGCATCTTCAACTAGCTAATGATCATGTTCATGTACATGTTTGCTATCTCAAGTCCTCAAAATACGAATACATATATTTTTATGATGTTAAATAAATTATAAAGCTATGAGTTCTAACGAGTGTCATTAGCTTATTGCAAAGTAGTTCCTTTATTTAAATATTGTCCACAAATTAAATCTCTATTTTTTAAGATAAAAAATTATCTTCTTATCTTAAGTGGATTTAAAAGCATAAGTCCTCTACAAGAAGCTCCAAAAATATTAAGAATTATTGAAATAAATTCAAAAAGATATTTTACTTTTCAATAACTTGTTTTTACATTCACCAAAAATAATTGAAGTTGATAAGCAAAATAATTGATATAGTATACTTGAAGGTTATCACAAGAATAAGTGATTTCAAAATTAAACTTGCCTTGCATATTGAATACTCCATTTAAATACTGGCCGCGTATCTAATATGACTTTAATAAATATTTTACTAATATAAATTGAATAATTATCATGAATGCAACTATAATTATTGAGAAAATATGTAATATAGATTAAATTTTCAATAAATTGTTATTTTTTTATCAACAAACCTTACAACAAAAATTATTTATTTATTTATTAATACATCACAAAACACATATATTATAATAAGTATTAAACACTTCTATCTTTCATAATAAAAACTAAGATATTTGATTTTGCAATTTAACAAAATAATTTTTTAATCTTGAAAGCTAACTATAACATTTTACTAACACTTTCAACTGTAACTTTCTTCATTTTTTCATTATAATTTGTAAGGAAATTAAATAATTCAAAATGATTTCCTCGATTAATTAATTATGATGACAATCATTATATTTGATTTTGCAGTTTAACAAAATAATTTTTTAATCTTCTGGAAAGCTAACCATAACATTTTACTAACATTTTCAAATGTAACTTTCTTCATTTTTTCATTATAATTTGTAATGAAATTAAATAATTCAAAATGATTTCCTCGATTAATTAATTATGATGACAATCATTATTGTAAAAAAAAATCGAACATGAGAACTGTTATAGTCAATATGATCATCTAATATTTTTTTGTTCCGCTCATCCTAAATCATATAGTAGGAACACTATACATTTGAGGTTTTATTAAATTATCATATTTTTATATTGTCTTATTATAAGCATTATTATGTAATCAATATGAGCTAAAAATTTTTCTTTTTTATTTCAATTTATAAATCATTCGCCAACAAACAAATCTCAAGCTCCTTAAATTATAACTATTCATTAATATTTAAGAAAACTTACGATTTTTTTTAATGATGCAATGCCTTCAACAATTCGTACTTTGTTTACACTCACTCTTTCATCTTCAATACTAAATTTTAATAAGAAAAAAATTATAATTATATCAATAAAAATAATTAAAATTTTCTAACCACACGTCAATAATATAAATATTAAAATGATATATGTGAAGCAAATAAATCATTAACAATCTAATAATTCAATATCAAATAACAAATAAATGCAAATAGAGATAAAAAATAAAAAGGGGCTTACATACAAACCACTCTAAACTATTGAAATTTTATATTTAATAGCTAAAACTTAAATTTTACTTAAATATCACCCAAAATTTTCTAACACCCCGAATATACCACTCGACCATTATCCTCTTCCCCTCCATGATGTTGTAAACGTGAGTGCGCACCTCGGCCTCTTACGGCCCTCCACCAGAACAATAAAAACCGCAAAGATACAGAAAAGAGAACATAGAAACCCTATTGTAATAAGCCCTACACTGGAAGCTTGTTGATGATGAGATTGTGGGTTTTGCTTGCGGGAATCTAAGCTAGGGTTTGCTTCGCAGGCTGAGAGAGCAAAGTCATAGAGATCATAAGCATTCTTATATCGAAAACAAAGGAAGGTGGTGAGTTGCTTGAGAATCAGGAATGCTAAGATAGTTTAATTTGTCGATTTACTTCGGAACTTGGTCCTCTAATTCATTGTAGGAGATGTCATGAAAGATCATGGAGTCATTGTTGTAGAATGTGTGCTATGTTCTTCCTATACAGACTCTGATGAAATTGCAGGTTCAAAAACTGGAAAGACTATTAAGTTTTCCTCGATTTCCAACTAACTCTAAATGATTTCTTGATCCCCTGCAGTGGCCCTTCTTGTCACTTTCCAGATAATTTATCTTTTTTCGGTAACCACAGCGAAGGAAGAGCTCACACAGAGCAAGGGAGCTCAAACCACACCGAGGGAAGATGTTAGACTAGGAGTATAACTCGCTCACTTCCAGTAAGTCACGAAGGTCAAAAAGATAATGGTCGAGTGATATATTCAAGGCTTTAGAAAATTTTGGAGGATATTTAAGTAAAATTGAAGTTTTAGATGTTAAACATGGAGAGAATGGGCAGGAGATCCATAAGTTATTGTAAGTATAGTTGATTTATGTTTTCTTTCATGCAAAGGAATAAGAGAGACTCAAGAGAGAGGTACTACCAAGTTGGCATTCCATGTGAGGAGAGAATGGATAGGAGAGAAATTGTTGGTTGACGTTCGTCATGAGGAGATAACAGAAGTTTGAGCGGCTTTGTCCCTGGCATGAGAAGAGAGAGTAGAAGAGATCAGTTGCTGACTAGAGTTCGGTGTAAACGCATGAGGACTAAGAAGAGCATGAAAAGGAGACTACTGAGCGGCTCGATGTGAAGAGAAGAAGAAACACACATCAAGCTTTAATGGCCATGCACGAAAGGCAAAATATTTTCTTGAGAGGGGGTGGCAAATAAACAAATTGCACATGCTGAATTATGTCTTTTATTTTAACAGGGGTATGATACTAAATTTAAAAATAAATAAATAAATAGAAGAAAGTGTGTCTTTACTTTGAAAAATGACAAATAATGTACCTTTTTTTAAATATGAATGACAATATATTTTTTTGTAAAAAAAACGATCAAAAGTATATCATTCTTAAAAATAGTCAACAGTGTGTTTGTGTTTTAATAAATGACAAATAGTATGTTTTTCTTTTTTAAATAACTGATAGACCACTTATATTTTTTAAAATTTTTTTATCTGTATTTATTTTTATTTATTGTTTGATACTGAATTATAAGGTTTCCAATGAATTATTTGCCTACCATACATTATTTTAATATTCATTTTAGAATTTTTTCTTGTTAGGGTTTAGTAAATGAATCGTTAATTGAAGAATAAAAAATTAAAATAAATTGATATTAATAATCTTCTGGCTAACCATAGACTTCATCATTTGATTTGAAATTATGATATTCATGGCAAGAAAAGAATACAAAAAGCAAATTTAGTGAAGGGACCATCGGCTAAAAAATTATAATTTTTTCCAAATAATAATATGTAATATCACATGAAATTTTAATTCAAAATAGTTTGACGAGCAAAAATATAATTAGAATATAGTGTACAAAAAAATGCAATATAGTGCCTATATCACTCCTTATTTAAGCCTAAAAAATAATTTGCTAAGTCAGGGGGGTGAAGATTCATTTGTTGGCAAATAATTTAACAATTAAAAGAGAAAAAAATAGCACATGTTAATGAGCATAACAATGCATACAATAAGACAAGATCGAAATATGATAATCTAATAAAGCCTTAAGTACACAAAATGATCCTAATATTTAATTAAGCAATAATAGGAAAATAAAAAATATAAAATTAAGTTGATTGTAACAGTTGATTGTAACCGTTGATTGTGCTCGTTTTCTTCTACGAAAAAAATGATTATTTCATGATCATCATGAATCTTAAGAATTAATTAACCAAAAAAATTGTTTGAAACAACATTAATTTCTTACAAATCATAATGAAGAAGTAAATAAAATTATATTTAAACATTTACTTCACTGATGGTTCAAAATAATATTGTTAATCTGCAGTAGTTGAAATAACGATCTCTAAAATAAAAGATAGAGGTGAATCATACTTCTCTATAATAGAGGATAAGTATTAACTAATATAAAAAAAAACAACTAGTTGTTACAATGAGTTATGTTAATAAAAAAAGATAAATTTTTAAAATACTTATTAATATCAAAAATATTTCATCAACAAATGTAGTTGTACTCAAGACAGTTCTTGAATTTCTATTAAAAAAATATTCATTAAATTTACAAAGGATACATGACCATTATTATGATAAAGCACCTAATATGCAAGGCAAATTTAATGATTAAAAAGTATTTATGCTTAAAATATTTCTCAAATATATTATATTTATTATTTTGTTTATCAACTTCAATTATGTTTGGTGATTTTAGCAAAAAAATCATTAACAAAAAACATATTTTTTAATTCGTTTTAAATATTTTGAATGCAGTAAAGTTTCTTGTAAGAGAATTGATGCTCTTAAAATCATTCATGTAAATTTTTTTTTTACATATTAAGTATGAAAATTCAATTAGTGGTCATGATCTAAATTAAAAAAATATTTTGTAAAAAGTTAGTGACATATGTGAGAACTCACATTTCATACTTTAATTAGCTTTATAAAAATATATGCATACCACTTAAATATTTAAAATAGTAAATGGGACGGAATACATTATCATCAATCAACTTAACTAATACTTTAATTGTTATAAATAAAACTTTGGAGTTTGTCTTCATAATGTATTTAACTATGAATATTTTGAGAATTTTAAATTAATTGCCAAAATCTTTATACAAAAAATCAGAACATTAAGAATACAATGAAACTATTGTAAGTATTCAAACAATGGTTAGAGATGATGAATGATAATAGATGAGATTCTTTATTACATGAAGTGTTATATCTTTGCATTATTTTTTAAAGCGATGTTCTAGATATAAACTGCATTTACAAGGCTCATCATTGATTAATACGAAGAGGTAACCAAAAAAAAAACAAATTTACATTCTTATCGTGTTAAATTATTTTACACTACGATTGACATGCAATTTCAAGAGTTGAATAATCATTTCTCTAAAACAAGTTTTGTGTTACTTCTTTCTATAACGTTTCTAAATACAAGAGATTTATTATTTATTTTTTAAAAGTGAAAATAAATTCATGTTACAAAATTATATCATAATGATTTTCTTATTGTTTAAATTGTGATATTATAGCATCGGTTATTCACTTATATTATCGATATGTACAACAATACTAATTTATCATCTTTAAATGATCATTCTGATCTTTTAAAATGACTAACTAAGATGAAAATGGACTATGCATAAATTTATTTTTAGAAGTTTGATATCTTGATATTAATTTTACAGGTCAACTACATTAGCAAATGTACATTCTAAAATAAAAATCATCAAAAATAAATTATATAGTCAAATGAATGATGTTACGTAATGAATGACTTGAATCTATTGAAAAAAAAATTGTTTGATTCATAATAAAACTATTATAATATAGTCAAATGAATGATGATTTAAGTAATGAATGACTTGAATCTATTGAAAAAAAAAATTGTTTGATTCATAATAAAACTATTATGCAATATTATAAGAGAATAAAAAATAGATTGAAGAGTTCATAATATTGTTCAATCAATTAATAATGATAAAATACAAGATTTTAATTTATTTTATTTTTTTTAATTCATTTTTTTATATAATAAATTTGCTTGCCTAAAAAAAGAGATTGGTGCTGCCCCTCATCTTTTTGTCAACATTATAAGATAAAAATGATTTACTACCAACACTCATTAATCACTGAATTGCTTATAAAAAAGATATATGTTTTGAAACATAATAAGAGACATCACGCCCCAAAAGCAAAGTATTAAAACTAATGTATAAGTCAAACTTTATGCCCTAATTCACACCAATATTTACCATTCTCCTCAATTAATTGCTGAAAAAAAGTTAGCCAAAACAGAAATTGCATCAAACTATGATTCTATTCACCAGCAGCTTTGTTGGATCCAACGCCCGCTGGATAGTGGCAGGATCCCCGCCGGAGTCAACGGCAAGGCGAGCGAGCTCCATTACCGGCGTCGGTGGCCACCAGACCATATTATTCTCCTCAACCAGCTCCCTTCTTCTAAGCTGTTCCGATATCGTCTGCCTTCTCTTCAAGGAATCGGAAGCTGGAGGGACGAGAAATCGGAGGCAAGATCTAAGCTGTCGCGCCTCGTCTTGGGGGATTCGACTGGCATCCTTCCTGCTTCCAAAGAGAGAGAGAAGGTCTGCAGCAATATTCTGGGAAGAAGTCGAAAGATGAGGCGAGGGGGAGGAGCGAGAGGAAAATGACTTCAGGGAAAGATTAGTCGGGAATTTGGGGAGAATGGGGAGGGGGGTGTGCGAAGAGGAGGAGAAGGCTAGGGAGAAGGAGAAGGCAATGGCGAATGCAAGTTTGGGGGTAAGAGATGAGGGGCTTGGCATCACGCCCATCTTCTTCTCCTTCCTTCGCTACAGCGATCGCCATTAGCCAGTGATGGGGATAAAGCAAGAGGTTTGGTGCGGAACGACATGAAGGGGGAATAATAAAATAACAGGGATTTTGGTAGCGTCACGACGGAAAAAGACCTAATTATCTCTAAACTTATTTGGTGTGGAGTGTATAATATATTAATTTGATTAAACATGTATTGCACTATAATGATTTGTTTAATGATATAAATTAATTAGTACGAGTTAATTTAATTTTATTATTAATAATAATATTAATATTTTATTGATAATATATGAAACTAATTAATCACAAATTAAATTTTATTTAGATTAATTGCATGTTAATTAAATTTTTTATTTGTTAATTATTACAATTGAACTATAATTAGTATAATATAATATTTTCTAATTAAAGATAGATTAAATTATTGCAAACATTATTATATGTTAAATCAAATTAAACTTTTAAAACAATTAAAGATAGATTAAATTATTGCATTATTATATGTTAAATCAAATTAAACTTTTAAAAATCTTACTTAATAAATTATAATGTTAAACTAAAAAAATTAGTTAACCAAACTTGTTCCAATTTAATTACTTAATATTTTTCTTATTACCTTAACTAACTTTGGGGAAATTTACATACATAGTGGAAATGGAAGGCTGAATTCTTAATTCGAAATGACTTGTTAATCATGATGAAGCTTATAAGTCATCATTATCTTATGTATTGGTGTTGATCGGTGTGCAACCAATTTCTATGGCTAATTTTCCGTCATTTTTCTTATGTTGTAAAACAATTTATTAGTTCGGGTTATGATAATATTACATTTTTTACTTCATCTTATGTATTTGTGTCAGTCAGTGTGTTTCGTATTTCAAATACTACTGCCTTTCTTCTTTCATTTATGTTGTTGAATAGTTTATTAGTTTGGGATATGATGATGGTGCACTTTTGTTTCATTTTGGTTTCTTATTGTACAAGCTTGGGATTGATATGTCGATGATTTGGTTATGATAATATCGTTTATTATTTGAGAATTGATACTGTTGTGCAATGCATACTGAAAAATATCTGACAATTTACTTCATATTATTGTTAGCTTACTCATTATTAGTGGTAACAGGCTAACAACTTACTTGTTGTGAAATGTAATTCATGTTGAAGGAAATAGTACAATTTAACTGATAATTTTGTGAAGAGTTGTGATTTTTTAGTTGGATATGGATCATTGTAATGCTTGTATATGGATCATGATAATTGGTGAAGAGACTTTTCGGTGTTATGATTAGTTTTTTTATGTAAAAGTACTACATTTCATGGTTAAAATGATGCATATAAGAATTGACATTCTTTTTCAATTGTTATTATTTGATATTTTACATTGTTGAAAATTTTATATTTTAGATGAAAAACAATTGGATCCAGGTTCAGATTTTGAAAGTGAAACTAAAGAAGAACTTGAGCTTGCAATCACTCTTACTTGTTTTGATGGTTATAATAAGAGTTATCTTGTCAAAGAGCAATGCGAACTTCAAGTCTTCAAGGTCTCGAGCACGTCGTTGAAGTACTGCGAGGGCATTCGGCTTGATGCATTGAAAATTATAGAAAGGAACTTCAAGATTTCTTGAATTCATCTATTATGATAAAGAAAAAATATCATATGAAAGACTCGAAATAGTTGGTCTTGGAAGATAAACTCGTAATAATTATGTTAATGTAATTGCATAATAAATGTTGTGGTTGTTGAAATATTTTAATATTCATTGGAGACAATCTCACAACATTACAAAAAGAATTTGAAGGCAATCTATCACTTAGGCATTGAGATAATTGTTTCTCTACCATTTTAGATATATGATTCCTCTTAAGATCAAGTATAATCTAAAGTGTTCATTTTTAAGGCATGTTAGAAATTAAAAAAAAATTTCATTTGTTTTGAATTATGATTGTTAATTTA